ATGGGTATTCCGAGTCATACACTCAAGTATAGGTCCGACAATAAGATGTACACAATTCTGACCCCGCAGTCGACTTTAGTCCGACCCGTGGCTCACGATTACTACGAAATCGATAACTATCCGCTCGGAACCAATGCTGTGGTGGCCGTCATCTCATACACCGGCTATGATATGGAGGACGCGATGATTCTGAATAAAGCGTCCGTCGAGAGGGGTTTCAAACACGGATCCATCTATAAGACAGAGATTATAGATTTGCGCGAAATCGGAGGCATTAGAGGCGGCTCTCAAGAGGTTGTCTACACGTTTGGCCGTAAAGAAGACAACCAACAGTTGGACGGATTCGTCGATTTTGATGGATTGCCATTCATTGGCACTAAAGTCGAATACGAAGATCCCATTTGCAGTTACTTCGACTTAACCACCGGTGAAACGCACGTCAAGAAGTATAAGTCGATGGAAGTGGCCTTCATTTACGACGTGAAACTGTTGGGCAATGATTCGGGCAAATCAGTGCTGCAATCGGTGGCCATAACCTATTGGATACATCGGCCGCCGATCATCGGCGACAAGTTCGCCAACAGACACGGCCAGAAGGGTGTCTGTAGTGTGCTTTGGCCGCAGGAGAACATGCCGTTCACTGAGGGCGGTATGACTCCAGACATTATATTCAATCCGCACGGTTTCCCCTCTCGTATGACAATCGGACAAATGATCGAAAGTATGGCCGGAAAGACGGCCTCAATGTACGGCACAGTACACGACGCGACGCCATTCGTCTTCTCCGAAGAGAACGTGGCCTCAGATTATTTCGGAAAACTCTTGGAAAACGTTGGCTTCAATTATTACGGAACCGAACGCATGTATAGCGGTGTCGACGGCCGCCAACTCGAGGCCGACATATTCATAGGTGTTATCTATTATATTCGGTTGAGACATATGGTGGGCGACAAATATCAGGTGCGATCCACCGGTCCTATCGATAACCTGACGCACCAACCCGTCAAAGGCCGCAAACGCTGCGGTGGTATTCGTTTTGGTGAAATGGAAAGGGACTCACTCTTAGCGCACGGAACCTCTTTCCTACTTCAGGATCGGCTCTTCAATAATTCAGACAAAACAATGGTATATAATATAGCGTTGGTTTGAATTGTCAAATATTTGCTAACTGAATGCCGTTTTGTATGCTTAGGCCTATATATGCCAGAAGTGTTGTTCACTCATATCTCCGTATTGTTCGGCCATTAATGACAGCTACGACTCGGAGCCGAAGAAGTCATGGAAGTGCCGGTTATGCGAATCGAGTGAACACATCCGACAAATAGCCATACCATATGTGCTTCAATATCTGGTCGCAGAGTTGGCCGCCGTTAACATTAAAGTTAAGTTTGAGGTCAAGAGTTAATTCACCAAAAGTTATAGTTATTAAAAGTTGTAATAAATTATTTTTTTTAAATTAAATCATAAGTTTATAAATTTCTATACGATTAAAAGTGATAAATTATGATAAATGGTCATTGCCTTCTTCAGGCGCGTGGTTTTAATTATTAATTTAATTAAAAATAAATCAAAACTAACAATACATGAGAGGGCGTGAAAGAGGGGGCGGGCAAAGCATCGAGCCTATAGTGGGGGCTAATTATTGGGGGGATAAGTGTGTGAACAATAATGTGTTGAGTAAAACGTGGCGAACACGTGAGTGAATGGATGGGTGAAAGTGGATGAGTTAGTGTCGGAAAAGTGGTACATGTGTTGTGTGTGAATGTGTTATGCAATACATGTGTTGGGAAAGCAATGTTCAAAAGTGAGCGCCGGTTCCCAATGTCTCGCAACCATTGGTTATGACATCCATTACG